TACAGCCTTCTTCCACAATTGTGGGACTGTGACTTTTTGGAAATTGAATACAGTTTTGCTAAACAATTCCCAATGATCTTTCATGCTTTTCTATTAAATTCTTCCTCCCAGTTCTTCTGGCTCAATTGTTTTCTGCTTTGTGAAACGGGCTCTTTTAAAGCACCAAGTATATATATATATATATACACACCTACCTATATATATATACACATACACACACACACATAAAACTGATCTGGACTTAATTTGTTTTCACATTATAGATGTGATCAAGTCATAATCACTTGTATGTAAGCTACCACTGATTTTTAGTTCTGTGATCAGTACCTCTTTCCTGTCAATATTTGCTTCTGCTTCTGAGTCTACATGGCAATCACAATGCTGTCCGGTCATGGGCTACCTTTGTAGGTCCAGGGTCCCCCTCAGTCTGGACCTATGGATCCTGCTTTAACCCATCACTGTATTGAGGTCATAGGAAAGAGATATTGCAACTGTCTTTTCCTCTACAAAACATAAGGAGTCTTATCCCAGAACTCAAACATTTTTAATGAATTTATTTTGCCAGTGATCTCTGTGCAATGATGCTCTTCAAGAGCTCTCTGAAAAGGGCCATTTGCTTCACAACTGGGCCATAAAACACCCATACCTTGCTACTCAGACCATTCACTGTGTGTTTCAATCAGCTTTTTGAAGATAGACAATTTATTTGAAATATCCTCAGTTGGTGTGTCAAGTGAAAACAAGTCCTTCATTGAATCAAATGTGTTCACTGGTTCAAACATCTGACAGGTACTGCTGCCTGTTAAGAATGATGATGGGGTTGACAACCCCAAGGCTTTACTGAAGTGAGTGGATTTATCATATTTATATTTTATTTCTAAGCTTTACTGAAGACATTCTGAAAGTAAAGGATTCTCTGGTTATTTACTATTCAAGACTTTCAAAATGTATATGGACCAACTCACTGAAAAGCAACTTTTAATAGGCCAGAAAGAAAATGCAGTTCTAAAAAACTGCTTCCAACATCTGCTGCTTTCCAGGGTCCAGCTCCATCCAAGGAAAATGAACAGAATCATATGAGAGGTACCTGCAATTAATTATGTTACATTGTTTGTCCCTTTAACTCTATACCACAAAGAGAGAATTCAAGATGGCAGGAGACCTCCATCCACTGGAGAATGGGAAATAAGAAAACCAGATCACACGATTTGAAAAAAGGTAATTGAGAAGTCAGAAGTGTGATTTCAGTAATATGTGAAATCAGACCACTCGATGCACAGAGAATAATATACTAGTTGTATTTGCCCCACCGTATGTATACGCCTTTCACTAAGATCAATAGGAATCACATGCACAAATCAAGGGTAGAATATCACATATACTATAGTATTTATTAAACACACAGACACTCCTATTTGTATTTTCATTTCAATGGCAACAATTTAATGGCTTGAGATACACCAAGACAACAAAACGCTGCATTGGGTATTCATAGTGCAAAAGTCTGAATTCCTGTAGTCAATCTTTCATAAATTAAAAGGACAGTCAGTAAACCAATCTTTAAAGCACTACGTTTTACAAGTGATAAATATCTGGTGTATCAGTTCAAGTCTCTTATTTTTCTTACTAATCCATAGTATAAAAACTATTTGCAGAATAACGTCTCACAGCGTAAACAAAAAACTAAACTATAATTTAAATGTGAGAAGTAGCCCTTAATGGATGCTAGATTGTGCTTAGCCCTGCAAGGAGATGGAGTGGGCACAAGCATTAATGGAGTCTAGTATTACCATAAAACTTTCCAAAGGAGCAAAGCAAGGATGGGGCCATGGACATGTCCCTCCTCTCTATAATAGCAATCGCAGCCATGCCAGTATAGGCATGCGAGAAGGTAGCATTAAAGCCACCAAATTTTCTTGTGATTTTAGTACCTCTAAATCAGAGTTTCTGATAAAGGCTGTTCCCAAATCTCAATTTACTTTTACAAATCAAATGCTTTCACCCCATTATTTATCTCCTACTGTTAACTCTTAAAAGTAGCCTTTCAAAGTTCAATCCAGCCTGTTAGTGTTTTTATGTCAAGATCTGTTTTTTCTTGTCTACTGTTTCTTTTCAAAGACTTTACAAGTGCCTCATGGCAATCATCGCAAAAAAAGCCAGACTGACATGGAGCTTAACAAAGTGATCTACTGAGGATTCATCAGAGTAAAATTGCCCAAACTGTATAAATTAAGAAATGCACTGACGACGTGCCTCTCTCTCCCCATAAAACAAAACGTTATCTTCAGATGCAGAAACCATTTTGAAAGCTTCTGCATCTAGAGAATAAAGCATTCAGAAATGCACAGCATAACCTTTTACAACAACATCTTACAGTACTAATCACATAGAAAGGATAAATACATTCGTGTCACACTACTGTCAAGCCCATTAACCTTATTTAGCCAAACCTCAAAAGCATAGCTGCCAAGTCCCCTCAAATGAATAAGTGAGCTTTTGTTAGAAGGCCATTAGATTCCTCCATGGGGAAAATTGTGGGTTTGCTCTCCTTTCTATATTTACATCATTATAAATGAAAGCAAAATTCCCCTCAGCATTTCAAAATGAGGTTCTATTAATAGTGGGACATATTCAATTCTCATTTACACAAATGTAAACCCAATAAAACTCAGTTCGTTCCGCTGAATGGAGAGGGAGTATTGGCTCTTGGTTTTACATGCAAATCTTTTATATACCAGTGTGCAATGGTATTTGCCTTTTTATTATATTTCAAACTGAAAATTAATATTTAATTTTGCAAGAAACTATGGTGGATGCATGACACCACGATCATCTGAGATGACCAAAGCTAGAACATTCAGCACTAGATGCACAAAGATGCAACTGCACAACCTATTACCTGAGCTAAAGGAATAACTCCATTAGCTAACAATAAGCAGTAGGCAGTTATAGTCCCCGGTTCCAGTCACTAAAGGGACACATGATCACACACACTAAGTCAATGCATTACACTATCATTCTAAATAGTCTTCTGCATTGATGTGCCATTTGTTCAACATGCTTCCATTTTTTATTATTGTTTAGTAGTGTTCTTCCCTAATGTCCAGATCAATGGAAGCACTTAAGAAAATGAACTTTAAGCATGCATTTGAAGTTCAGCAGGTATTTAAGTGCCCTTCCTGAATAGGGATGCTTTCCTGAATTGGGGCCTACACTTTAACTGTGCCTCTTACTATATTAATATTATATTTTTATTAATTGCCCAGTACTCTCCATGTTCTCCAGGTCTATTTGAATTTTCTGCTATTATCTAACTCCAATTTTAGTACCATCTGCACATTTTATTGATGCATTACTCATTTAATTTTCCAGCTCAATTATAATGACATTAGACACTACTAGTTAATATAAGGAGAGTTTAGTCTGCAGAAACCTACAGTACTTCTGTACTAACAAGTTAGTTTGTACAATATACAAGGTCCTATTTAGAAAGTTTCTAATTGCTGAATTTTTCCATTCCCTGTTTGAGTCTTAATCTTCATAAGAATTTATTTTATATAGTTGAGATCCTTATGTCCAGCCATTTATAGTAGCTTTCAAACACTCACATTTATTGATAGCTTACAAAAGAAAAACAGGACAGTTGAAATACCAACAGAAAGAGTGTTTAATGTAAAAAACTCAGGAATTGCTCGTTAGTGGTAAAACATGACAGTATGAAAGATAGTGCATGCAAGTGTCACCCACCAGCTGAAACACTACAATGGTCAACGGATTTAGGAAAGCTAATGATATATATGAAATGGTACTTTAGTACACCATCACAGTAAATGAGCAACTTGCAAGTGGGCTATACTTCTGAATCCTCACAGTGCTCTGCTGAATCATCCTTTCTAGCAATTAACTTGTTTCTTTTTAAATAACAGGTGTCCCTATTAAGGATATATTGCAAAAGCACTCCAAGTGCTTTTGCAATATATCCTTAATAAGTTTAGATTGAACTACTTCTGAAATTAATCCATAAACACAATTTCTAGCATCAGGATATGAAATATATCTGTTTGGATCATTACTCTACTAAACTAAAACTTCAAAAAAAACATTTAACTTAGGTATAAGTTGTATAAACCCAATTTAAACAAATTAGGAAAGAAATTCTAATCATATGTTGCACTGGAGTTGAGGACATACAATTTATTACCTCCTAGGAGGCTGCCCTGAAATTTATGGTCTTGCAGGGATTTTTGTTAAATATTCTTTAAACAGCTTAGATGCAAAATGTTAGTATTTACAAATCCTTTGCACACTATTCAGTATTCATAAAAAATAATTAACTATGAAATATTAGTTCTTCTCGGACTAATAGATAACACAATGCAGGGGCCAGATTCATTTTATGATCTAAACTTATTTACTTGAAATTCTTTCCTGTGACTAACATGCAGATATTCAAAACCCTATCACATCTCCTAATTACACATTCTTAATTACTTCTGTCTTAATGGTTGCATAGCTATACTTAACAATGCAATGTAAAGTTGTTGTTTTTTTTAAAAGATGATTTAATTAAATATAACCATCAGTCCAAACTTCCTTGGTCATTCTTTTTATCTTGGATAACATGAGCTAATGAGAACTACCAACTATAACAAATGTTTAATTCTGATTTAGTAATATTTTTCCAGCTCCATTTTATTTAAATGTTTTAATAAGAATTTAACAGCTTGGAAGTTTTTAAGAGAGTAAATAAATTTTTCTTTTTTATAGGTACAGGCATATTGCTAAAATTGTGTGTCTTATGAAAGCCTATGAAAAAGCATTAAAAATGAACTGCTAATTAACTAGATCCAAATCCTGCAGTCCTTATTCCTCAATAAGGCAAGTTTTGGCCTGTAACACATTCACCACTGGCTAGTACTAAGGCGATATAGTACATGCGTGTGTTTGAAACACAAGAAGCAGAAAAATAAACAAACCAAAAACTAAAACCAGATATATACCTTCTCATACAATCCAGTGCCCGGATAAAGAAGTCCTTGTGCAGTTGATGTTCATCTCTCAAGATTGAGCACTGTTCTAGTGTCACTGACATGGATGTCCTGTCTTTGGCACTTTTGCAACAGGTGAAACGGATTCCATTTAGCTTGCGGCAAATCTATAAAACAGACAAATCCAATTATTACTGTTGTGCATCCTATCCACTGTAAAGGATAGCATAAAATTAACTCACATATTTTACAGTTATAGAGAATTTACATCGAGGCTTAACTTTCTTTTTTTTTTTTTTTTTGGTTAAAACTAACCCAACTCAAATGGAATTCAATCATTATGCTTCTGCCATGTGATCCTAAGTAGTTTAGTCAATGATCATCAGACAAACTGGAAAAGGAGCCAATAAAGAAAACTATTTTTTCTTTTAATGTCACATGTACTACTGTAATTAATGTTCACCTACATTGCCAAATACCAAATTAACATCAGAAGTATTTCAGGTAAGCTTAATTTCTAAGAATGAAATTCACTGTGGCCTGGAGGACACACGCAAGGTCCTCTGCACCATTTAACCTCCAGGGTAGGGTTGCACTGAGGAGGCTGTTAGAATTGACCCACAGGCCATGTCCAGAAAGATATATCATGTTAGAAAATATATTAACAAACATGTTTTAACTAACATGATGTTAAATATGATTTTTTTCTTTGTGTAGGCAGGGACAAGTCATGTTTAAAAATGTGTTAGCTGGTCACGATTAATCCTAGGGTCCTTCCTAAGGTTAACCATGACTCACTAACTTGCTTTTATAAACATGACTGTTGCTGTCTATACTAAGAAGAAAATCGTGTTTAATATGATAGTTAAAACTTGTTAATGAACACAATGTCTAAAGATGTATTTTCCCAATGCAGACAAGGCCACAGAGGATTTTTTACACCCAGTGTATGTTGTGGAAGGTGCTCATGCCAGACCTTCACAGGCTGGTACAGATATTGGCAATGGGGCCCTGAAGAGGGACCATGGAATCCATGTTTATTAGACATGTCTGTGTAAACTGTACAGGAGAGGTTGCAGCCTCTATTTTAGCCAATTTCATCCAAATTACATATCTTAAAAACCAAATCTTAAAGCCCTTCATTAGCACAGCAGGTCTATAAATATCTGCCATCTTGGGAAAAATGAGGCAGCTATCTAATAGATTTTAGCAGGGCGAGGTGTGCTCTCAGGCACTGTGCTGGAAAGCGATTGCAGCTGGTGAGTGTTTGAGATCACTGAGCATTTTTGAAATATTCAAGGCTACAATAATAAGTACATAACTCCAGCACATTTGATGCAACAATCCTCTGGCTTTGTGCCTTCAGCCATTTGAAGTGTGTATTAATAGCCTCAGAAAACATAATTTGGAGTGTCTTATGATTCCTTTTTTATTGTATATTTCATTTTTAAGTCTTGTTTTCCGTTTGATTGCTATTAACCGTAATGTATATAGTACCATTAGTTTTGCGCCACGTTTTACAACTGGCTATGTATCAGACAAGGGAAAGAATCCCTGTGCAGAGTGGCTAAATACAGGTGAAAGACCTGAGAGGATACAATTAGAATACAAATATATTTTGCGAAGGGCAGCACAGACTGACTTGGAGGTCACAGAAGCACCATTTAATACTCTCAGGTTTATTTTTTGAAGTAAAATTAGAAATTAAATGTGGCCCAACAATCAGGGGTGCTGTTACTAAAAGTGACACTGACCAGGCTGCACTGTGTATTCCTGACCCTTCTGTTATCAATTACTTGCATCCGTGCCCTGGGCTCTCTCAGTTTTTGTTTAAAAATTTTCTGTAGGATTATTAACGATTAAGCTTTTTAAATTAAAATATGAAACTGAAAAGAGGCCATGATTTGACAGAACAGATGTCGAAGGGTGAGAGATTTGAAATAGAACAGGGATAGGGAAAGAGTTAAGGAATATTCAATAGCTAAAAAACCACCATGCCCTACAAAATGTATATTGTCCTTACTCTTAAGTATGAATAATAGTAGTCATTTAAATGACTATAATTACGAATTACCAACCTGTGGAATCTGAGACACTATAGTATTTCTTTATATTCAGAAGAGGAAGTGATTGTAGTGAAATGGATTTCCATTATTGGTAAAAGTTAAAAGGAAAAAAGGCTTTTACTGTCTTTCCCCACTCTCTGTGATGTCCACCTATTTCATTTATAGTTCAGGTGTATGAATGCTTAATATTTTAATGAAGTGATATGGTGAGGAGATACCTGATACCTAGGATTTTGATCCTGCAAATGCTTAGAGTAAGGCAGCTTTTACTCATGAGTAATGGTTTTCAGGATTATGACCCTGTATTGAAACCATACTTACAAAGCCGTTCATAGTTTTCAACCTTCAACTGTCTAAGATGTACACAATGAAAATATGTGAAAAAGACTGAAATATGGAACATGTTTCTTGTCATGACAAAAAATTATCCTGGTTTCTAATTCTAACACCTGTTTAAGGATGATTTCTCCCTTTGTGAATTAAGAAAATCAATTTTTAAAAACAGAAAACCAGAGGGAAAATTCTATCATGTGAAAATCATAGAATATCAGGGTTGGAAAGGACCTCAGGAGGTCACCTAGTCCAACCGCCTGCTCAAAGCAGGACCAATCCCCAACTAAATCATCCCAGCCAGGGCTTTGTCAAGCCTGACTTTAAAAACCTCTAAGGAAGGAGATTCCACCACCTCCCTTGGTAACCCGTTCCAGTGCTTCACCACCCCCCTAGTGAAAAAGTTTTTCCTCATATCCAACCTAACCTCCCCCACTGCAACTTGAGATCATTACTCCTTATTCTGTCATCTGCTACCACTGAGAACAGTCTAGATCAGTGTTTCCCAAACTTGGGATGCCGCTTGTTCAGGGAAAGCCCTTGGCGGGCTGGGCCTGTTTGTTTGCCTGCCGTGTCTGCAGGTTCGGCCAATCGCAGCTCCCACTGGCTGTGGTTCGCCGCACCAGGCCAATGGGGGCTGCGGGAAGCGGCGGCCGGTACGTCCCTCGGCCCGTGCCACTTCCCGCAGCCCCATTGGCCTGGAGCGGCGAACCGCAGCCAGTGGGAGCCGCGATCGGCTGAAACTGCGGACGCGGAAGGTAAACAAACCAGCCTGGCCCACCAGGGGCTTTCCCTGAACAAGCAGAGTCTCTTTGGTAGTTGAAAGCAGCTATCAAATCCCCCCCCCCCCTTATTCTTCTCTTCTGCAGACTAAATAATTCCAGTTCCCTCAGCCTCCCTTCATAAGTCGTGTGCTCCAGCCCCCTAATCATTTTTGTTGCCCTCTGCTGGACTTTTTCCAATTTTTCCACATCCTTCTTGTAGTGTGGGGCCCAAAACCGGACACAGTACTCCAGATGAAGCCTCACCAATGCCGAATAGAGGGGAATGATCACGTCCCTCGATCTGCTAGCAATGCTCCTACCTATACAGCCCAAAATGCTGGTCTCCCAACATTATCAGTACCAAAGGATCACCAGTAGAATTTGAACCTTTGACCTTCAAATACAGAGCTCTACCACCTGAACCAAGTGAGCAACTCTTAACCGCTAAGTGGACCAGCCACTATGAGAGGATATGATCCATACACTCTGGGTAACACAACTATTTACTACAAGACAGCAGTTGAAGGAGAATCTATCTTATCTTACTGTAGTGTTTTATATCGTCACCCATTACTGTAGTATCTGAGCATGTTCCACCTAAAATCAATAGTGAAGTCCATAATGGCTTTCTGGCTTTCTTCCCTTTTGGGGTTAAAACCTCTGCTTTTTGCAGGAGGGTGGGTTAGGTTGTATGATTTATTTTTATTAGGCTGTCAAGTGATTACAAAAATTAATCTCAATTAATCGTGCTGTTAAACAATAAAAAATACCATTTATTTAAATATTTTGGATGATTTTCTACATTTTCAAATATATTGATTTCAATTACAACACAGAATACAAAGTGCACAGCTCTCACTTTATATTTATTTTTATTACAAATATTTGCACTGTAAAAAGCTAAAGAAATAGTATTTTTCAATTCACCTAATACAAGTACTGTAGTGAAATCTCTTTATCATGAAAGTTGAACTTACAACTGTAGAATTATGTACAAAAAAACCTGCATTCAAAAATAAAACAGTGACATAAGATATCACTGAATCCAAGATCTTAACAGGATACTAAAAGGGATTAGACATTTCTATGTATAATGAGAATATCCAAGGTTATATTAGGATAAGAGCTAAAATCTCTCACACTTCAGGGCCTACACCAATTGCTAAATGGAGTTAGGAAGAAAATTCCACTATAACCAGGTTATTTCATAATTGTGCATTATGGGGGTTCTTGCACTTTCCTCTGAAGCATCTGGATTTAGCCAATGTTGGAAAAAGGATACTGCAGTAGACGGACCTCTAGTCTTATCCATTGTAATTATTTTTATGTTCACAGAGCATAGAGCATAGTCTGGCTTCATGGGAGACACAACATCTGCCAACATTTGCCACGCAATGGTATCAGAGATAACCAGTTTCTCTCTGCCCCCAATATTTAAAATAAGAAATGTCTGTGGTAACAGTTGGCAAATGTGGACTTTAAATGTACATTAAATGTAGTCCCATTATAATGAGCAATAATATATTTATTGCAATAATCTAATAAATCCTTTACAGCAAGAAATTGTGACTTCCCAGTACAAAGATGCTAACATACTATGGTATCAACATCAAGAGCTCCAGACTTGTCAATTCCAGGGGGATAATTTGAAATAGGGTAGTATAAGGGCTATACATTTGAGTGAAGGGCAAACTTTTAAATGGTTGTAAAGCAGCAAAGCACTTTTTTCCTCCATGAAAATATTTTAAAGATTCACTGAATGGATGACAAAAGAAACCTCTGGAGACATGAAGTGAAAATAAATCCTGTCCTGCTCTTGGTAGATTATTTTAGAGTCCCATGCTGATTTATCTTTTACTTCTTCTGAGAGTCATGTTGTATAATTGCAGAATTCCTATTGGAAAAGGGCTTACCTTTTTACACACAGTGGATTTACATTGTAATACATGTTGTTACATTTAGTACCTTACTACAAAATAGCATTAGCAATATATAAAACGGCAACAACTTCATTACTAAAAAAGGTCTTTGTGTGTCATTGGAATCTTGTTCCCACTGTTAATGAAAGATAAAACGGCTTTGCCCTGTATAGTTTGTGTATTTGAAAATGTACAGAAAGGGCTTGCGTTTAGACTACTGTGTGTGCTAAAGGCCAGATTTTCTCCTGGTGTAAACTTCCATAGCTCCATTGAAATCCATGACACTGTGCCTGTTTACACAGGCAGAGAATTTGGTTCAAACCTTTAGATTGCCAAGTTATAAATTACACCCCTTTGGATACCAATACTAAGCACCTCTGATTTCAAAAATCTACACAGTGTGAGGTCAAATCCTGACTTGTGTTTTGCAGCCTGCAAGAGGACCCTCTTGACAGCAACCTTGGAGATATACTCCATGGCCACCCAACCATGCACTCTCCCTCAGAGATGTGTTATGTATCAGGAAATTATGTTGGCGGTAGGGCTGTTCTTCTCCTTGACAGTCATACATGGTGGTCTCTCCCTAAATGAGAGAGAGTTGGAGAGGTAGAAGGGGGATTGAGCAACCCTCAACCTACATAGCTGGCTGACAGCTATAAAAGTGAGCTATCGTTTGGGAAAGAGGGGGCCTTTTAAAACCTTCCACCCTCTCCCCAACAGGCAATTGAAGGTAGAGAGAACACTGTGGACTTTTAGTCCCTTAGGCCTGTTTTTCAAGGAGGATCTTTCTGAGATCCTGCTTTATGAGGCCCCTCTCTCTTGTATACAGATTGCTATTCAGGAATTTACTATGTAGAAGCCCTTCAGTCCAGGCACAGGGGAGATGGAGCAGAATCTCTTCCCTCCGCAGGCTCTACTGATAGCAACGTAAGAGACCTGACACCAGTAACAGCTAGAATAGAGAGGAAATAGTTTGGACCATTGGGTATTAAACAGAGGGGAGCAGCAATAAGAAGGTATCTTTAGAGTAAGCAAAGGCTTCTCCCTGATTTAATTCCCCAAACACTGGGCAAAGTTTGGCGGGGATATCACCTGGAAGGAAGAAAATTGGAGACATCACACCAGTATTTGGTTATTTCAGCATGAGGCAGGGAGTATATTCAGTACCGAGGAAGTCTGAGGAGGCTCAGCAAGGTTGAGGAGCAGGCTCAGTGCAGACAGAATGTTTGCTTTTTTTTTTTTTTTTTTTTTTTTTAAAGCACCAAGCCTGTATCAAACCCTGTGGAGCATAACGCGGACTGCAAATAGTGATTTCAGATAGCTTGTAACTCTTTGAAATCTGAACAGATATTCAGTAGCAAAGGACTCCAGGACCCAGTCTGACCTCAGGACAATCTCCCTTCCAAATTTCATGTCCCTGCTGCAAGAGCTCTTCAAAAAATATGGGTGTTTTATTTATTTATGAATTTTTTTTAATCATTAGAGGGTTTTGTTTTGTTTGAATTACTTTTATGCTTTGTATTTCCTTAGTTTGTATTTCTTCAAATACCATATCTAGTTGTTTCATGTTCTACCATTGTTTCATGTTCTCTTTGTATATAAAATATCCCCACTGTATTTTCCACTGTGTGCATCCGATGAAGTGAGCTGTAGCTCACGAAAGCTTATGCTCAAATAAATTTGTTAGTCTCTAAGGTGCCACAAGTCCTCCTTTTCTTTTCGCGGATACAGACTAACACGGCTGCTACTCTGAAACATATCTAGTTGATTGGTGTTTTAATCACTGCAGTTGGAATGCCCAACTGCCATGGTGACAGAAGCTACGGGAATGACATATGTGTAATTTACGTAAAGGTGATTTGTAGAGTGCCTATAGCAGTAGCAGCTAGATATTCATTTACAAATTAAAGTACCTTCATTATATAAAACTATGAACAATAGAGTTTGTGTACAGAAATATCCAACTAGAGCTAAACCAAGTAATTATGTTTTGCAACAGGCCCCGAGGCTTGTTAGACTAAAGAATAAAAGTAAGATACTTATGAATAATTGCAGTTTGGTATGTGACAATAATAGATTCATTTTAAATTTAGAAAAAAGATTCACTGTAAAAACAGTAACTGGATACTGAAGGGAATATCTTACATGATTTAACATTCCTACGGGCATGTATTAGTAGCCAGGGCCCTGATACTGTAATAAATAGCACATGGACGGGCCCCTGTGTTTACGTGCTTTACTGATTTCAACAGGGCTCTGCACAGGTTCAGTAATCTGCTCAGGCAGAGCCAAGTGTAGGATTGGTGCCCACAAGTACATAGCCTATGGTGTCTTATTAAGTCCCATGAACTGTTCTTTGTAAGTTTCACCAGAAGTAGCTGTCTCAGATGTATACTACTTCTACATGGAAAGCTGTAGGGAACTCTGATAGCTCTCTTGCAGTGCGGGAGGTTGAACTTAGACCACTTTTTTTTTGAACCGTGACCTGTGGAGGAGCCCTTACTAATGATGATACAATCATAATAATGTAGAGCTGGAAGGGACCTCGAAAGATCATCAAGTCCAGGACCCTGTGCTGAGATAGGTCCAAGTAAACCTACACCATTCCTGACAGGTGTTCGTCCAATCTGTTCTTAAAAACCTCCAATAATGGGGATTCTACAACTTCCATTAGAAGCTTACTCCAGAATTTAACCACACTTATAGTTCAAAAATTTTTCCTACTATCTAACCTAAATATCCCTTGCTGCAGATTAAGCCCATTACTTCTTGTCCTACCTTCAGTGAACATGGAGAAAAATTGATCACTTTCCTCTTTATAACAGCCCTTAATATATCTGAAGACTTATCAGGTCCCCCCTCCATCTTCTTTTCTCAAGACTAAACAAATCCAGCTTTTTTAACCTTTCCTCAAAGGTGAGGTTTTCTAAACATTTTATCATGTTTTATTCTCCCAGTAGTCAATCTGAGTCCACATCAGTGCTGAGGAGAGCATGACAATTGCCTCCCATGTTTTACCTATGACACTCCTGTTAATACACCCCAGAAAGATAAGCCTTTTTCATCATATTGTTGACTCATATTCAATTTGTGATTCACTATAACCCCAGATCCTTTTCTGAAGGACTACCACCTAGCCAGTTACTTTGTAATTGTTCATTTGAACTCGTCTTTATTGAATTTCATCTTGTTGATTTCAGACCAATTCTCTAATTTGTCAAGGTCATTTTGAATTCTAATCCTGTTCTCCAAAGTGCTTGCAACCCCTCCCAGCGTGGTGTCATCTGCAAATTTTATAAGCATACTCTCCATTATTCAAGTCATTAATGAAAATATTGAATAGTAGTGGACGCACAACAGATCCTTGTGCGACCCCACTGGATATGTCCTGCCAGTTTGATAACAAACCTTTGATAACTACTTTTTGAGTAAGTTTTGCGCCCACCTTATAATAATTTTATCTAGACCACATTTTCCTAGTTTGCTTATGAGAATGTCATGTGAGACTGTCAAACATCTTGCTAAAATCAAGATATATGAAGTCTACTGCTTCCCTTCTATCCACTAGACCAGTAATCCCTGTCAAACAAGGAAATTAGATTTCGCATGGTTTGTTTTTGACAAATACATGCTGGCTATTCCTTATAACCCTATTATCCTGCAGGGACTTACAAACTGATTATTTAATAATTTGTTCCAGTATCTTTCCAGGTATCTATAATTCCCTGGGTCCAATTTGTTCCCCTTTTTAAAGATAGGTACTATGATTGTCCTCCTCCAGTCCTCTGGAACTTCACCCTTCCTCCATGAGTTCTCTGTGCCATGAATCTGTGATGATCTAGATGATCTATAGCATGAAAAGTGTTAAGAATCAAGAAGCAGAGGATTCAGGTATTGGGAGGGGAGATGGATCCATGAGAGGGTCACTTTTTTACAATAGCTCAGCAGATGAAAATGATAGAAAACCACTGGTCTAGAAATATGTAGGTACTTCTATGACCCAAATCACTGTATTTTCTGAGTGCATCCTTAAAAATTCCTTTGCAGCCCTCATATCAGCAAGTAATGGAAAATTAGTACACCATATATGAAAGTAATTGGAACAAAGCAGCTTACCGTTGCAGCCACCCACATGATTTCTACATTCTTTCTTTTTTTGGCCTGGATATTTTGATGGAGATTTTCTAGTAATCCCTTTAGGTCATTCTGTTCTTGAAAATGTGGTAGCCCTGAAAAGAAATAAACAGTCAGTGACAACGGCTATGCTGACTTAAAGATTTCCTCACTAAAGAAAAGCTCCAACATTTAGAGTCTCATTTTGGATTCATGAGGATTTTGATAGAAAGTAGCAACTAACTATTTAATAAATAAGAAAAAAATATTTTCCCTGTAAACAGAGGGCTTTACTTTATAGAGCTGCTGAAAGTCCTCAATTTCCATCTTATCAACAACTCAGCACCTTGCAGGATTTGGCCTAGTTCCAGATTCTAGTTGTCAGTTTAAAATAGAACACAGAAAGGCTCTGGAAGTGAATGGAGAACTGTCTGAGAGGGTCTGGTTGTGTATTCCTTGCATTCAGATTTCCCACTGAAGACAAGTCAATGGGAAATATAAGTCACTAAGCAATCCAGGACTTGGCACTTTAATTTATTCTAGGGCTTCAAGGGCACAGACATAGCACATTACTTTTTTGATGTTACCTCTTTCCAAATTAGTACTGAAAATTATTAGACACAAGTTCTGTCAGTTTTTCTGGATTACTTCCTCTTACAGATGTGAACTAAAAGTGATTTATCAACTGTTAACACGTAAAAAAACATAACAATATCTTAGACCCATAGGAAGTGGTATGAAAACAATTCTATCTGGGTGCCGTTCTTTCCTTCAAGTTGACAAACTGAGTAATTTTGCCTCAGTAAAACCAGGCAGGGGGATCCTCCCACTACTAAAACCAAATCCTTCTGAAATAGAGAGATCCAAGATTTATTTCCAAATCAGTCAAAACTAAAAAGAATATTACAATGCAGAACAGATAGCCATTCCCCTAACCTGATCACAGGCAGAATGACAACTGTTTGATTTACAAACTTTTATTTTCTATCTCGAATGAAGGTGATAGTTTCTCTCACTCGTGATATGTAGTTGAGAAGTAATTTAAAAAATACACAAAAAGAATATGTTAAAAAGCTCTCTGAATTGCCTGACCCACATGCAATATTGCCCTGCAAAAAGAACACAGAAGAAATAATACAGAACACTTTAAAAACTGGCTTTGTAATTCATTTTTGTAATTGTGTTATTGAAGATTTTCTTACCTGCCTATATAAATATATATTATCTTATCTGCACATTGTGTCTACTTTTTAAAAAACACACAGCATACATACAGTGAATATGCAGAAAGGAGTTTCTAGATATTTTGAAGCTTTATCATACTATCATTAAGAAAATATATAAGTGCATCATAATATGGTCTTTCCCCAATACATCCTAGCAAATCCTTAATGTGGGGCAGACACGCATTTTACCATGGGTAAATATTCTTTTAAAGAACTGTATTGCTAAAATAACTCATGCCTTGGCTGGATGTGAAAGACTGTTCAAATCCTTCAATCATATAACAGTATTAAACTGTCAAATTATTTTTGTGGATTATAAAGAAATATGTCCTACAATTACTGTATCCTATCAAAGGGGTTGTACTTTGGAGAATGCATGCTCTGCAGATGTGATATGGCACCAAAGCAGAGGTTCTTGATTTTCATGTGGTTCCAGAGTGCTTTGCATGCAGCTCTCTTCTCAGGCTGGAGAAGATCATCCCCAGCTTCCTGACATGGGTGTGGCTGTTGCCCAAATATCAAAATGGCAATTTAAAACAACAGAGGCATGGATTAATCTACATTTATGCTAGTAGCCTCTTAGGGTGAGTCCTAAACAATCATTCTTACCATATATTGTTACCTTTGTGTATGTTTTATTAAATTTACTTTTCAATAAGCATGCTACATTTTCATATCCTTCATACGTTCAGCTCTTCTGGGATACTGTAAAAGTGGTACTGTATTTTGGATGAATCAGGAGGATTATATAGAACTTTATTTGTATGCATTTTCAGTAGGAAATTATCCCAAAACACTTCACTATTATGTATGGTTTAATAGGAGCAGAGAGTCAAAGGGAATGAGAAATGAAGATGAATGGGCAAGTGAAAACTGTTTTCATCTGTGGTTTGAAAGAAGATGGAAAGTCAATGAAGCAAAGAGGTACAGAATGGCGGCACCAGATGGCAAAAACTACGGAGGAATAAGTTTGCTAACCAAAGGTGGTGAGAAAGTAGAGAGGCACACAGAGGAGGCCAGATGAGCAGAGAGAGTGGGGACAAGAGAGAGACTAATAATGTGTGCTACAGTAGCTGCATAGAAAAGAAGTTTTAAAAAGAAGTTTGAAAGGAATCCAGAAATGAAAGGGCCGTCAGCTTGGTAAAAATGTCTGTCTCCAGTTACGAATTCCATTTGGTTTTAAGAATGTTGCAACTGTCATTGTAAATTAGACTATCCACTTTGTAGCAGGGACTTGGCACACAGGAAGAAAACTCAGTCTGGAAAGGTCTGACAAATCAAGGGATAATCAGTACAGAATGGATCTCACCTGCTTGAACAATAGGTTCCTGCCAGCAGGGACTCTGCCTTTGAATGGGCTCTCTCTTCACAGAAATCTGGGGAAAGACCCTGGAGAGTGCGCCTGAGTGACCCAGTGGTAGGAACAGTGATCAGTCACAACTCAGCCCCATGATGATTAGCAGCAGGTGGGATTCAGCGCTCAGATCCTCTCACAGCAGAGTGCTATCTCTTCAGAGAGCAGGACTGGGCCAGGCTGTGACCGTGTAATGTGGACCTTTGTACAACGTTTAAAATGGTGGAATCTGAAGAGCTGGGATTTGGAGAGGCCACCGGGAAATCCAATAGTGAAGACAAGAGGAGAATTAGTAGTATAACAGACTGGGACTCAAATCAATGGCATACCTGGGCAATTTTGCAGAGGTGGAGATGGGCAGATCTACACATGAATGATGTGTAGAAGAATAGATAATGGTCAATGGTAAGCTCCACTAAGTCAAGAGAGGGATGTCTGTCTGTAAAACATTTAACTGAAGGCAGTTGAAATGAAGCTGAAAATTTACTTTGGGCTTATCTTCATGGTGAATTGCATCACAGCAAGCCAGGATATGAATCTACAGTGCACCAGCTTGCGATGCAGTAACTCACCATGTGAACACTGCTACAGTACAGCAAAATCCCTGGAGTGCAGCTGAGCACTTACCCCTTAAAGCGTACTAAGCTAAAGCTCACGAAGCGTGCAGTAAAAGTGCTCATACAGGGAGTAACTGCAGTGTAACTAGTGCGCTGTAAATTCAGACCTTATCTTGCTGAGCACTAACTTCCCTGTATAGACAAGCCTCAAGTCAAGAGAGCAGAGAGGGTGAATGGAGATGAACTATTAAAGATGTTGAATGATATATATACAGTTGAATAACAGCATTATGGTAAACATAGTTAAAAGGTGGAGAGAAAATAACAAAGGGAAGAAGGTAAATAAAAGAGACCAGAAGAACAAGAACAAGAACAAAACACTTTGAATCTCCATAGAACAAGGGCTCTTGACTCGCCAGAAATGGAGAAACTGCAATAAGACAAGTACAAGTACATCAGCAGAAATGTGCAGTGAGGCTAGATAAGCATAGTTCTTGAAGGGAACCAGAGATGCCTGCATAGATTTGGAGGTAGTCCAGGAAGATGGAGTGGCACAGTGTGAATGACTACAATAAGATCAAGGAGACTGAAAAGACAGCAGCAACAGTAAAAATGAGATGAAAGGAGGAAGACATATGGGAGAACAGTTACAAATTATTACCAGAATGAATCCCAGAATGAAACAGATCACAGTAGCATTTTATAAAAAAACAGATGCAGTAGAAGTAGATTTGGGGGGATTGTTGACATGGGTAAAGGAGGAAAAAGTTGTTGACGGTGATAGAATATGTATGGAAGATAGGAATCAGGGGAGTAATAGTTGGTGTGAGATAACCAGTGGTGAGCTGGAGTCGGTTTGCACCGGTTAGCTGGAACCGGTTGTTAAATTTAGAAGCCCTTTTAGAACCGGTTGTCCCGAGAGGGCTTCTAAACATAACAACCGGCCAAAAGTGATGCCATAGGCGTCAACTCCATGGGTGCTCTGGGGCTGGAGTACCCACGGGGAAAATTTGGTGGGTGGAGAGCACCCACCGACAACTCCCCGCCTGGCCCCAGCTCATCTCACATCTGCTCCACCTCCTCCCCTGAACACACCACCCGGCTCTGCTTCTCTGCCCCCCCACCCCCCCGTTTCCCACGTTTCAGCTGTTCGCGCGGGAAGCCTGGGAGGGCTGAGAAGCAGGTGGTGGCTTCGCACTCAGGCCCAGGGAGGCGGAGCGGAGGTGATCTGGGGCAGGGGGACGCGAGGAGGGCCGCCCGCGCCGCAGCAGGTAACCTGGGGGGTGCACAGGGGAACCGCTCCCCGCCCCAGCTCACCTCCACCTCCCTGGGCCTGAACACCAAGCCGCCGCCTGCTTCTCAGCCCTCCCAGGCTTCCCGCGTGAATAACTGATTTGCAGGAAGCCGGGGTGTGTGTGTGGGGGGGGGGCGGAGAAGCAGAGCGGGGCAGCGCATTCAGGGGAGGAGGCGGAGGCAGAGCAGAGGTGAGCTGGGGCCGGGCACAGGGCGGGGCAGGGAGCTGCTGGTGGGTGCTCTCCACCAAATTTTCCCCATGAGTGCTCCAGCCCCGGAGCACCCACAGAGTCGGTGCCTAAGGCACCACTTTTGATGTGATCAGCTAGGGGAGCGGCTGCTCCCCCTGCTCCCCACCTAGTTATGCTACCCCACCCCAGGAGCCAGAGGGACCTGCCAGATGCTTCCTGGGAGCTGCCCCAAGTAAGCACCGCGGGGACTCCCCATCTCGCTCCCTGGCAGGTCCCTCTGGCTCTTAGGGGCGGGGCAGGCCCACGAGACCCTCCTGCCTGGTTCTGGGGGCAGTCAGGGGACAGGGGAGGGAGGTGGATGGGGCAGGGGTCTGGATGGGGCAGGAGTCCCGGAGGGCGGGGGCAGAGTCATCACTGGACATAACCACTGCACATTATGCACATCACAGGGTACCCCAGAATAATACTTCAAGAGCTCCAATCTTTAATAAGTAATGTAAGATGAAATATATATATATATATATATATATATATATATATATTTTAAACAAATTCTGGAAGGAAAAACTTTCCAGAACATAACTCTCTGTTGTGGAGATTAATAAGTGTATGACCAGAAAACAAAGAAAAAGAATGAAGATTTTCCATCCCTTTTAAATTACTAACATGGCGTCTAAATAACCACTTCAGGGTCAGCCTCAAAGGTGGGTACCCAGGTGATGAAAACTAGGGGTTGCCATTTGCATGAAAAAAATTTTTTGTAGTTAGTTAGGTCCAAGGGAGGTAGTAGGTGATCTGTTTTAGCAATGTGCGTGTGTTTTTTCAGAAAAAAAGATGTTTTCGAAGAGAGAGAGTTGTAAAAACATGGTTTTGGTACCATTTACTATATCCTTTCATGGAAAGGCAGAACATTTTAGTACTGACAACTAACTGTACAGGCTTAGAGAGGAAAACAACAAAAAATAACTATTTATATTATAAGCTTCTTGGGGACTGACTCTTATGATTACCTATTTACCACATTGGTCTGCAATTTATCACATAGATATCACCACCACATGTGTGGTATAAATATACATATTCATAATCATATATATATATATATATATATATACAGAAGCTGCTTTTGTTCAGTGGTAATCAAATGAAATAGAAGTATTCTACATTATGTCATACATTCAGTGCGCGGACAAATATTATAAAGCAACAATATGAATTAATTCTGTGTCCAGAAAGCATAATAAACTCTTAAAATCCCACCATCTTTCCTACAGAGCTGACACCTACCATCATCTCACCCCGATACTCACCCTGCCCCCTAGAAAAAAGCCAGAGAACACTTCAGCCTTGTAGATTGACTTGAAGGTCAACAGAATAAAATTGACTAACCAAGGCAGAAAGCAAATTCCACTATTCGATGACTCTTCATTGAAATCCCCTTGCCTTCAGCCCGTGGCAGTGAAACCAACTGCCTCTGACAATCCCAAATGCAGTAATAGGCAATTTTGGAGGTAATTAGGACCCAACTCATTTTATGCCCTATATGTTAAAAATAACACCTTAAATAACTCCGGGACACAAAATAGAAGCAGATCACAGAATAAAGGTGTTATATGCTTCCTGCAAGAAATATTTATTAGCCCAGAGGCTGCCGTAGTCTGCAGCAGAAATTTATAAGAAATAGACACATGATAACAATAATATACACTTATACTTTTCATCTATAGATCTCAAAGCCCTTTACAAAAGGTGCATAAACATGGCCACCCACATTTTACAGATGGAAAAAGTGAGACACAGAGATGGTAAGTGACCTGACCAACCTCGAGATGACAAAAAGTACGGATTATCATGATAAGGTCTGCATCACAAAGAAAAAGCCAGACATAAATGACAGATCCTAAACCAAGCCCTGATCCTTGTAACCCAGATCACACTAGATGAGTCAGATGAAATAGAAACATATTTTAGGATTATACATACACAAGAAAGAAGAGAGACAAATTATTGAGGATGGTGCAAGTGTGTGAAAGTAATGTTTTGAAATTGAGCAAAGAAAAATGTAGGGTGAATATCCCTAAAAAACCCACCAAACTCCTAATGGTGAGATCTTTAGATTGTGGAATAATTTCCCAAAGATGTGGTGGAAGTCCCATTGTTGAAGTTATTCAAAAATAGATACATTAGACAAAGCACTTGAGAACATAACCCTGCCTTGGCAGGACTAGATGACCTAATGGGTCTTTTCAGTGTTTTGAGTTCAGCAATTAAAGTAATAAAACAGTATTCCATCTACATATAGGGGCTAATCCAATATCCACTGAAGTCCATGAAAATCTTTCCATTGACTTAATTGGACATTACAATGGGACCCATTGATAGGCTCTATATCTGCAATTCACTCCTTAGTTTTGTACATCTTGTTATGTATTCAGAAATGAATAAAAAGTTGAGTGAATGACTGGAGCTAATTGACTCAAACTTCTGAGAGGTATTTGAGCATGAATACTATAGGTGTCTAGTTACCTCTACTTATGTTACTATAAACGTTATGTTAATAAATATGCAAAACATAATTTACCCCATTGTTACTGTTTCACCTTTCTACTACGGCCTGGATCTGGCAACTTGTGCCATGCAGATGGACCCCTCTTGACTTCAGTGGTGCCGCATGTAGTCACAGGGGTCCACCTACTTGGAATAAATTGCAGGATTGAGGTCTAAACATAAAGAAGCTGCATATTAATACTTTTAAAGTTTCAGCATTACAAGCTGCCATGGTCTATCACCTGTAACTCTTGTTAAAATCAGTTTGAATGCTACATTATTAATTTTATACTTACAATCAGGAGGCATTTTTTCAGTAAACAACTTGTAATATTCTTTAAGAAGTTCAAAATTTTCCTGGTTAACACTTTCTTGCAAAGTGGTATCTCCAAACCTAAAACAGCAAAGGACAATGCTGGAAATAAAAATAAAACAAATTCTATAAACAACACCCCTCCCCCCCTGCACTCTACCCCCTTCTCTAAAACCAAGAAACAAAACACATACCTAACTCAGCCGCAGCTATGGCTTCCTTATGTAAATAGAGAACTGTTTTTTCCCCTATTTGTTTTAATAGATTTATACAACAGAAAATAACTAACCTCAAATACACATTATACCATTAACAAATACTAGTTCAAACCACCCCTGAACACAAGCTAACAGCCAAAAACACAAGCTAACAGACAAAAATCCCTGCTTTCATCTCATGACTATTCATTAAGTCCCAAATCCTGCTTCCCTGTAGACAGCCAGAGTCAATGCGCTTTGTGCCAGGATTTGCTGTGGAAGACTGAATGCCAGCCTGTCTTTCTACAGACACCACCAACTTTTGCATCTCATTCACTTTTCATGCTAATAATGCCTTTGCTTCAGCTGAAGTCAGCAGCTGAAATTGATCTCAGGCAAGACAGAGGTGATGTCAGCAGGAAAACATTTTGAACTCCTAGCCACCACCACAGCAGCACCCTGTACTGAGATTGTCTGCTGTAAATAATCAAGGTTCATATCCTTGGGTCCTTCTGGACTCCTCTCCTTGCTCGTGAACAGTCAGACTCAGCTTTCAGGGATTCCTTCTTGCATCAGCAACTAGCCAGTAAACTATGTCCTTTGCAGTTAGATAGTGGCCTAACCACTGTGACCCATACCTTTGTGACCTCTAGGCCGGATTATTGCAACTACGTTTAGGTGAAGCTGAAGTGCACACACTTTAAAAAGGCTTCAGTTGTTCTACTATGCTGCAGTTCATTTTTTCAGCAACAGAGGTTGCTGGGAATGTATCACCCAAATGCTCACTAGTCTGACTCCCCACAGGACACTCAGTCAAATTCAGGATGTTTGTTCTCCTCTCTAAGGCTCTCCATGGCATTGGTGCAAGCTCCCTAAGAGAATTCTCTCTAAGACTATGATTTTCCATGACAATTAGATTTCACAGAAGATACTGTCCACACCTTTAGAGTGAAATGCTGAGAATGAAGAGTGTTCTCGGCAGCGGGCTCAAAACTATGGAACACTCTTTTGGAGAGCTGAGACTAGCTCCAGAGGTCACTGCCTCCAGAGTGACATGTAACTTTACTTCTTCAAGTCCAGCTTTCCCATAAACACCAAAGCAAAAAGGAAAAGACAACAGAAGAACAAAGGGACGGGCAATGAGAGCAGGAATGACATGGAGAGGGGAGAGAGAGAGGGAGATGAAAAAGTGGAAGAAAAGGAAGAAAAAATTCTAGTGATCCACCAGGAAGGAGAGAGGAAATCAGAAGGTCTTTACTGTGTTGTGATAGTCTGCAGAAGGTGTTCAAGTATTATGGTGATAAGTGTGGTACAAAGATCCTGTTACGAGAGACCTGGACTTGACATAACCCACAGCTATCTTGTGCTTAGCCACCATAAGCTGGAAGTGAGGACACCATGTAGTGAGAAAGAATTTGGCCTTGCTTAGGCAGACAAAAACATCTGCACAGCCGCAGTGTTACTAACAAGGATAGCTGATCTTAGTCTGGGTGCCTGTGTCTGTATGTTTCTTGCTAGAGTTGCTTTACTGATAAGTAGAAATTATGAGTTCATTGCTGTTGCTAGGGAAACAGTCAGCCAATTATAATTTATTTGGAGATATGCTTTTGTCATTAATATAAAGCGAAGGGTAATCACCTTTAAAATCCCTCCTGGCCAGAGGAAAAATCCTTTCACCTGTAAAGGGTTAAGAAGCTAAAGGTAACCTCGCTGGCACCTGACCAAAATGACCAATGAGGAGACAAGATACTTTCAAAAGCTGGGAGGAGGGAGAGGAACAAAGGGTCTGTGTCTGTCTGTGTGATGCTTTTGCCGGGGACAGAACAGGAATGGAGTCTTAGAATTTAGTAAGTAATCTAGCTAGATATGTGTTAGATTATGATTTCTTTACATGGCTGAGAAAATAGCTGTGCTGAATAGAATGAATATTCCTGTCTGTGTGTCTTTTTTGTAACTTAAGGTTTTGTCTATAGGGCTTCTCTATGTTTTGAATCTAATTACCCTGTAAGGTATTTACCATCCTGGTTTTACAGAAGTGATTCTTTTTTACTGTTTCTTCTATTAAAGTGTTTCTTTTCAAGAACTGAATGCTTTTTTCATTGTTCTAAGATCCAAGGGTTTGGGTCTGTGGTCACCTATGCAAATTGGTGGGATTTTTACCAAACCTTCCCCAGGAAGTGGGGTACAAGAGTTGGGAGGATTTTGGGGGGAAAGATTTTCCAAACGATGCTTTCCTAATAAAAATAAACCCAGATAAATGTTCGGTGATGGCAGTGGAAGTCCAAGGGCAAAGGGTAAAATAGTTTGTACCTTGGGGAAGTTTTAACCTAAGCTGGTAAAAGTAAGCTTAGGAGGTTTTCATGCAGGTCCCCACATCTGTAACCTAGAGTTCAGAGTGGGGAAGGAACCCTGACAGCTTTGTTTTTAATTACTTATAAAAAAGATTAGTTAGAAAGTGTACTTTGGAGAAGTGTGGATTTTCTATGAGCAAGAAGACACTGACAAGCTCCACAGCAGCTAGGAGGAAGGCTGGCCACTGGAAACCTGCTGCTGTCACTTGACTCCACCTCAGATTTCGGGTAACTATATTTTGGGTAACTAGATTATTGCTAATTTTGAAGTGTTCTTTGTATTCAATAAAAACATGGATTATTGGGTGAAAGCACTCTTGTGTAAAACAATCATTTCTCAGATGGAGGTGCTGTGTCCCCCCACTGATTTATCTCCTGACACTGCCTGGAAAACAGAGACTAGTTACCATCGCTTTGGGTTCAGATAACCCCAGGTAACCATCCAGATAAGTATGCATCCGATGAAGTGAGCTGTAGCTCACGAAAGCCTATGCTCAAATAAATTGGTTAGTCTCTAAGGTGCCACAAGTACTCCTTTTCTTTTTGCGAATACAGACTAACACGGCTGTTACTCTGAAACCTGTAAAGAACATAGTTGTTCTACAGCCACTATTTCATCCACTGGCTGCAGTACCTTCAGCCACTACTGTGCTCTATATAATCTATTTATCATATAAATATTGCTGAAGTGTCCATCACCACAATATCTAGGTGCTGTGAAAGAGTGGGGGCGTAATCTTACATGGACAGTTTGGCTAGCTTAGCAACATTGTCATGGATAAATTACCATGCCATCACCCTTTCTCTGCACCTTTGCACTGTCCACATCTGTCCCAGTTGAACTGTACTATGGAAAGTGCGTGTGTGCGCACGCACATGCAGAATTTGGGGCTCAATTCTTTAGCTGTTGTGTGATACAGAGTGGGCAAAAGATGATCTATGTACATAACTCCTAAATGTAATGCTGTATTTTAACACACTGTCATGATTTCTGTATGTTATATGCATAATTTCTTATAATGCAAGCAAAGTAGATATTAACTATATCTGCTCTTCTGTTGAAGATTGCCTATCATTTCCCCAGTGTTTCAGTGTTACTCTTAAACCAAATATATTCCCAGCTATGGCTCACTGAAACTGGAGATGTTCAGTTCTATTGAAATAACATAACATTAATCATCAAAAGATTATTTCTATTGTTATTAATGTTTCCTAGTATGATGATTATTTCTCACTCCCCAAAATACTTATAGATAACCTTTTATTGAAAAACACATTCAGTGTTTCCATTCTTAATTTCATCTCTCTAGTACAAACGTGAATCTCTAAAATTCAAGGGAGTCCAGTGAAGTCAGATAATATTGTAACTCAAAGTTTTATGTTTATACCTGAAATGGCAGAATAGTTATTTCTCCATAGATTAATCCAATTTGATTTGCTTGACAGACATGTTTTCTTAATTTTTAATTTTTATGGTATGATTTTCTTTTGTATGTGTGTACAGAAAAGAGCAGTATATTGATCACTGTGGAGAACAGCACCATCCTCCATGTCACTCAGGCCCATAATCTGGGCATCATCTTCAACTCAGCCCTCTCTCTAAATCCTCACATCCAGGCTATATCTAAATCTTGCTGATTCTTTCTAACATCTCTAAAATCCGGCCTTTCATATACATCCACATAGCTAAAACTCTCTTCCACGCTCTCATCTCACATCTCAATTACTGCAATACCCTTGTCTCTAGCCTTGTCAAATACAATCTTGCCCTGCTCATATCCATTCCGAATGGTGGTGCAAACATAATTTTCTGAGCCTGTCACTTTGACCATGTCACCTCTTTCTTTGCCTCCCTCCACTGGCTTCCCTTTCTCTACTGCATCAAACATAAGCTACTTGTCTTCACTTTTAAGGCTATTCTCAGCCTATTCCCACCCTACGTATCATCTCTCACTCACTACTGAGATGTCGACGTCTGCCTCTGATTGGCCCATGCCAGCCTCCATCCCCAACTGGTTAAACTTCTCAAACAAGTCCCTTCATGCCTTCTCCCACGTTGCCCCTCACATTTGGGAGGCTGCTCCCCATAAACATCTACAATACTACCTCATTATTCTCCTTCTAATCCTTAAAACTCTCCTTTGCCTTGATTCCTACACAAAACTTGACAAAGATTAGGCCACTGGTATCTCATTGCTTCCTTGTACTCCCCATCTATTCACCCATCTGTTGTCTTTTGTCTTATACAGTAACTCCTCATTGAAAGTCGTCCCGGTTAACACTGTTTTGTTGTTATGTTGCTGATCTATTAGGGAACAAGCTCATTTAAAGTTCATAGAATCATAGACTTTAAGGTCAGAAAGGACTATCATGATAGTCTAGTCTGACCTCCTGCACAACACAGGCCACGGAATCTCACCCACCAACTCCTGTAATAAACCCCTAACTTATGTCTGAGCTACTGAAGTCCTCAAATCGTTGTTTATAGACTTCAAGGTACAGAGAATCCTCCAGCAAGTGACCCTTGCCCCAC